CAGGCCACATTCCCACAGGAAGCAGCTCCTGGCTTGACTCCTCTGCCAAAATTCCTTGGCCATTGTGGTTGGGAAATGTTCAGTCTTCTGGGCAGTAACTCTGTAGTGTCTTAGTTGGAAACATTTTCCTAGTTGGAAACTAACCAGTCACCACTAGTACTGCCTACCCTAAATTCTTTAAGTAACAATATCAGAAAGTGTCAGATGGCTTCCTAGCTCAACAGTCAGAGCCTTTTTTTTTTTTTTTTTTTTTTTGGAAAATTGATTTAAATATTGCCCCATAAAATCCTGGTCAAAGCTCACTTGTGTATACAATACTTGAATACTCCTCAATTCATTAATATTGTTTTCTGGTATAAAACTGTTAAGTTACCCTGGAGCATGCAGCAACTTGAAGCCATTTTAATTTACATATCTGTTACTTCAAATTGAAAAATAAAAAATCTTTTGAAATTGACAAAAAGTGCTCAACTGTAAACAATGATAGAACAACAAATCTGGATAGGTTCTGTGGAAGGTGGGTGAGATCAATTTTATAGTCTTATGCTAGTAATTCAGTATTTTTCCTTTCTGTCCTCATTTCCCATGCTCTTTCTTTGCTCTTTCTTCTCTTGACTTCACTTTGGTAAAATATCTAGTATCTTTTCCCCTACTGGTTTGGAAGTTTCATATCCTGGCTTAGGTATCTCTTACCTTTTGCTTTTCATGTGGGGTTGTGTGCATGCTTATAATAGTTGCTTTACACATTTTGTGACCAAAGACCTGACAAGCAGCTCAAGGGAGAAAGGGCTTATTTTGGCTCGCTGTTGAGGACGCAGTCCTTCATGGTGGGGAAGGCCCTGGGGAGCTGCTCTCAGCTGTTACTATAGGAGCAGGAGGCTGTTTGCTCTTATGTGGGCAGGTCAGGAACCTGAGACACAGGGAACGCCAGACCTCAGCTGTCTTTTGTCTTTCTCTTTTCCCACATTCAGAGTGGATCTTTGCTTCTCAGCAATCCTCTCTACAAACACCCTTACAGGCATCAGCTAGGTGTCTCCTATGTGATTCTAAATCCGTTGACAATGAAGATTAACCAGCATGATGTTGAAAACATCATTAGTTATTAGAAGGGAGATTTTTAAGGAAAAAGGGGAAGAGAGAATCAAATTAAAATGTGAATGTTTAAAAGAGGCACAAAAAAGAACAAATCAGAGGAACTAATGTAGTTAAGAAAGATGACCATGGGTACTGGAGAGATGGCTCAGCAGTTAAGAGCACTGACTGCTCTTGCAGAGGGCCCAGGTTCATTCCCAGCTCTCACATGGCAGCTAAGAATTGTCCTTAACTCCAGTTCCAGGGGAATCCGATGCCCTCTTCTGACCTCTGTGATACTGCATGATACAGCTGCACTTGCATACATGCAGGCAATATACTCGGACACATAAAATAAAAATAGAAAACATTAAAAAAAGAAAGATGATCAGAATGGATTTTTAAAAGTCTGTTATTTGCTGCCTCCAAAAGTGTTATAACCAAGGTAGAGAGGTATGAAGTACCTGGAAGGGAATAAAAAAAGATAACATCTGGTCAACAAAAAGAGAGCTGGGATAGTTGTATTAATATGATAGAAAAATAACAAAAAGCATTACTTAGGATGGAACAATCACTGTTTAATATATTAGGAAAACAGGAAAAAAATCAAAGAAAGCATGGTAAAATAATATGAAAAGGAAAAATGAATGCTACAGAACACAAGAACATTCACATGTACCCTACAGACACAGAAAATGAAAATAAAAACTTCAAGAACATTAGAAAGAATCTGAACTTTCAATACTGCTTTTAAAATAACTTCCAAAATGCCTTGCTCATTTAAAATAAAGTGTTGCCAGGTACTGTGGTACATCCCTGTAATCCCAGCCCCAGAGAGCCGAGGCCAGAGGACTGACTGTAAATTCAAGCTTAATCAGAGCCACACTGAGTTCAAGGACAGCCTGAACTACATAGCAAGATTGTCTCAAAAAAACAAAAAAAAACTTAAATTACATAAAATCATGAGAAATAAGGCACAGCATTGAATTTACAGCAGCCAAGAAAGAATGTGCTTAACAGCAAGCATATGAAAAATATTCACTCCATCTCACCAAGGAAATGCAAATCAAAAAGCACAGTGAGATATCTCACCCCAGGCAGAAAGGCTATTACCAAGGAAGAAAAACATAACAAATGCTAATGAGGAGGCAGAGAACCAGAACTTGCATACTGCCGGTGGGAATGTGAATTCATATACCTGTTATGGAAAATAGTTAAGGGTCCATTAGAAACCTAAAAATAGATCTACCATGTAATGCAGCTATACCCTTCTGGGTATTTACCGAACAGAAATGAAATCATTCTATCAGAAATACGTGCACTGTTAATTGTAACACTATTTACAATAATTAAGAGAGGGGACCAACCTAGCATTGCATGAATTTTTAAAAAATGGTATAAGCAAAAGAGAAGCAAGGTGGTGGGAGGAACAAAGGGTAACGACAGGTACGTGTGAAAATGCCACCATGAAGGACGTTACTTTGTGTGCTGATTTAGTATGTTTAACGTCACACACACGTTTGTACTCATACGTGAAAACTTAAAATTTGCTTCCTCCCCTCATGGTGGCACATTCTTTTAATCGCAGCACTCAGGAGGCAGAAGCAGGAAGGTATCTGTGAATTTGAAGCCAGCCTCAATAACATACTGAGTTCCAGGCCAGCCAGGGCTACATAGTAAAACTGTGTCTCAAAAAACATAAAGTTGGTTTCAAGCCACGCATAATGGCACAGATCTGTAATCTCACTTGGGAGCTGAGGCAGGAGGATCAGAAGTTCAAGACCAGACTCCACAGAAAGCTCAAAGCCAGTCTAGACCACGAGACCCTACCAAACAACCAAAAACAATTTTTGATTTAGGATTGGAGAGATGGCTCAGTCAGTAAGTAAATTGCTTGCTGTGCAGGCACAAGGCCCTAAGTTCAAATCCCCAGCATCCATGTAAACAGTCAGGCACAGTGGTACACATCTGTAATCCCAATGTTGGGGAGGTGGAGGCAGAAGGATCCCTTAAGCTCGCTGGTCTCATCTAGTCAACTCAGTTGCCTCAAAAGATAAGGTGGACCAGGTGTGGTAGCACACGCCTTTAGTCCCAGCACTTGGGAGGCAGAGTCAGGCGGATCTCTGTGAGTTCAAGGCCAGTCTGGTCTACATAGTGAGTTCCAGAACAGCTGGGGCTACGGGGAGACCCTGTCTCAAAAAAACCAAAAAAAAAAAAAAAAAGATAAGGGGGAGAGCAATGGAAGAAGGCACCTAAGGTCAACCTCTGGCCTCCATGTGTGCACGCAGATTGCTTTCATAGTAGTGTAGGTAGCACAGTTGTCACTAAGAGGGAAGAGGGGAAGCTCAGGTAATAGGCACCAAAGTATAGAACAGGAGGAATGGGCTCCTACGTTCTACAGCACAGTAGAGTGACTAGAGTTCACAATTCATTACATGTTTTCTAAGAACTAGGAGAGAGAAGTCTGAAAGTTCCCAACACAAAGAAATGACTAATATTTGGAGGAAATAAAAATGCTACTTAAGATAATTTGGTCATTGCTTATGGTATATAGGTACTGAAATATACTGTACCCACAAGCATGTTTCAATTATGTGTCAATCAGAAAACTTTAAAGTGCTCTAATTTTACATTCAGCTTATCACACTTCATGAGATTTCAAAATAAGAAAAGAGAGAATGGTATATTTTATTGGCATTTTGGTCTAGCACAATTCAATTAAAATAAAAAAGAAGAAAGCAATTTATTTAAACAGTTGACTATAACAAGCAATTACAAGTTTGTTTCACCACCATACGATTGTATTCATGCAAGTGTGATCACCAGTCTCATCATCTCAGCATCTACAGGAGCACCACCTTTCATTTGCATACTTGATGCATTAATGTCATCGTCAAATTCATCTTTTTTAGCAACGTAAACATATTTGCTACACGTAAACTTTAAAAGATAAAAGTGAATGATACTAACCAATGAATCAAAACAGAACTATCACCACATGACATAATTATACATGACATAATACTGTCTCCACAACTTAATATAATTTCACAAAAAGGAAGCAGAAACAAAAAGCAATGTGAAAACTCCTAAAATAGTGTTAAAACACTGAAGGCATCATGTAAAATTCACCTAAAAAGAAGGGGAAACAAAATGATACAGTGAAAACCAAATGTGATTTAATATTACAGTAGTCACTGTACTGCAAAGAATGTCTTTAATCACTCTGACAGCATGCTTTGTTTTCTATAAAAAAATTACATGGTGAGCCACATGAATTGGGTACTTTGTGAGAATTTCACATTTAGTCATCTGTGGGACTGCTATCTCACTCAAGTTTTTCAGCTCTAAATAAATTTTCCAAACAACCCAAAACATTAAATTACCTTCGTAAGAATTACCACAATAGTCATATAATCCCTAAATAAATCATAAAAACAAATCCACTTTAACAGAGCGAGTACAGAATAGTGAATACTTGTGTGTTACAAATCACAGAAAAATATTCAACAAATAAGCAAAAATGTTTGCATTTATTATTACTACTGATTTGTTCTTTTCTGGCTAAAATTAAATAAGTTTTAAAAGGTCAGTGAGGGTATTCAGTGCCACTTTGGATTTGTCTGCAACATACAATAAAGTTATATCTGTAATACAAAAAACAGACTATTTTTGACTCTTAAACATAATTAAACTATAAAGACCTCAAATTTCTAAAATCAGGTATAATACTGCCAAGCAAAAATAAATTTGTTCTTGTTGCTCTCATTATTTCTGCTCAATCTACAACCAAATATTTTTCCATATGTTGTCTCAAACTGACACAAAACAGGTCTAAAGAGATGTCTCTATTGGTTTCCACAGAGATTGAAAAAGCAAATGAAACAGAAACAGTATTTCATCTTGAGTGTCCTTAACATGTCTGCATGTCAAGCAGCACTTGACACAGCAAGTTTCTTCAAATGATCCATAAACACTTGTAAACTAACATCATCTGTGAGGATAGGTGCTCCTGACTCCTAGATGAAAAGAGAAGGATTTGTTGATTAAAACCCAGGGTGATGCTGTGGAATGCACATGCAAACATTAAAACAGATAACAAAGTCATTTCAGAGTAATGCCCAGGCTCCTGGTTCCTGAGGGAAACCACCTACATTCTTAGGATTCCCTAAGACTGTCTTCCTTGTTCAAGGGCTGTTCCCATCACAAGAGCTTCTGCTAGGAAATGCACTATCTCAGGATGTGGGCTAGTTACCAGGAAGACCAACAGTGTGATATAGTAGAGGGTTAGGGCTTTAAGACAGCCTGACCTAGTTACAATGTAAGAAAAGAGGGACCTTTCACTGCTAGTGGGAATGTAAACTGGCCTAGTCCCTATGGAAACCAGTATGGTGGTGAGCCAACAAAGACATTAGAACATTTGTCAACAATATAGACATTTTCTTGGCTAATGGTTTTCAAACAACAACAACAACAACAACAAAGTAAAACAAGAACTACCGTGTGGCCCAGCTCTACTACTCCTGGGCATATACTCAGAGGATCTAAGTCCTACAACAGAGATACTTACACATCCATATTTATTGCTGCAATATTCATAATAGCTAGGACATGGAACGAGCCTAGATTTCTGTGAACAGATGAACAGATACAGAAAGTGTGGCACACACACATACACAGTGGAATGACATTTGCAGGAAAATGGACGGAACTGGAAATCATTGTTAAGCAAAGTAAGCCAGACTCGGAAAGAGAAATATATGCTCCCGTCTGCAGAAAATAGATTTGTGTGTGTGTGTGTGTGTGTGTGTGTGTGTGTGTGGAGAGAGAGAGAGAGAGAGAGAGAGAGAGAGAGAGAGAAGATACTAGGTAGGAAGGGACCATGAGAGGGTAGGGAGAAATCTTAAGGGTAGAGGGGGCAACTGTAAAGTAATGCATGTGACAAAAAAAAAAAAAGGGAGGTTTTTTAGGGCAAGGAAAAGGAACAGGAGGACATGGGGGTTGGAAAGGGCAGCAGAAGAGAGACAAATTAGAATAAAGTAGAAAAAGGGCTGGAGAGATGGCTCAGAGTGCCTGCTTGCTGCTCTTACAGAGGAGCGGAGTAAGGTTCCCAGCCTAACTGCAGCTCTAGGGGATTCAACATCCTCTTCTTGTCCTCTTCTGGCCTCCACCAGCCCTGCACTTACTTGCACGTACCCACACACCAACACACATACACACACATAATTAAAACTAAAACCAATAATCTTTAAAAAAATTAAAAAGGATAATTACAAAAATGCATGAAGATGCCACAATAAAACCAATTACCTTGTATGCTAATATAAAAAATTAATAATAATTTTAAAGATGATAGGTAGGGTCTGGAAAGATGGTGCAATGGCTAAGAGCACTTACTGCTCTTGCAGAGGATGCAGGGGATCCAGGCTCAGCACCTAGCATCCACATGGCGGCTCACAACTACCTTTAACTCCTGGCCTTTAACTCTGGCCTCCTTGGGTGCCTGTGGTGCACATAAACTCATATAGGCACGCACACACGCATTAAAAAATAACATATACATTTTTATTAAAAAGATAGCTTAGTCTCCAGACCCTTTTCCCTGGTATTTTAACAGAGTTGCCAAGTAAACTTTTTTTTTTTGTGGTTTTGAGACAGTCTCATTATGAAGCCTCTGCTGGCCTGGAACTTGCTATGTAGACCAGGCTGGTCTCAAACTCATGGAGCTGCATCTGCCTCTGTCTTCTTAGCGCAGGATTAAAGGCATATGCTACCAGACCTGGTTCATAATAGCATTTAAATACAGTCTATGCTTATCAAGTTTTCTAGTCATTTTAATTAATTTCTATGGGTTTCAAGTAATTAACAAGAGTTATGAAAATTTTAAATATTTTAATAAAAACTACATCCACAAAGCTTTGATAACTCAATCCATGAACAGTGAAATTTTACTGTAATATTATTTTGATGAGATTTTATATAAAAAAATTTAAATTTTTCATGGTATACAAATTTCATTTGTTAATAAATAAAAAGTTTTAAAATGAGGAAACTAATTTTTAGAAGTCAACAAACAGTGGCAAGTGTGAAATAAGAATTTCTAGCTCCTGTGGATCTAGTCTGCCTTGGCCAGAGACATACAAAACCTCTTTTGAATAAGGGAAAAAGCATAGCCCGTGTTAATTCATGAAAACTTGAAAAAACTGCCAATGAAGGAAGACAGAGTGCTGGAATTGAGGAACTGAGTCAGAATGCTAGGCCTAAATTGTAGCTCTGTGGCTTACACTCATGTGCCTCTCTGGGCGGCTTGCTGTGTCTTAATTTCTGCATGTATAAAATGCCAGTTTCAGGACCTTCCTACGCCCTGCAATTGCTGTAATGATTACATAAGTAGCATAAAGCAATTAGTGGATCTGGCACGTTTCCACTATTACTGTTTGGGAAATCTGTGACTGTATGACACTAAAACTTCCCTTTATTTTGTATTCATAATTATCACAGGGGAGCAGAGGTCTCAATGTGACCTAAACCATTAACAACATGGTGGCTCTTGTTTTTTTCTTCCTGAAATTGTGTCTAATTATTTTTTAACATGATTTCTGACTCAATTCATCCAATCCCAGATCTGTTTCTCCTAGAAAAAATGTTGTCTAATGCATACATATTATAGAGATCTTGTTGCAAATGTATAAATAGTAATTCTGAACTCAGAATAATCAGCAATGAGTTGATCTTGATTTTTTTGAGTGGACCTTTTTTTCCCTGTTTAAGCAAAATACATCCAGGATTAGATATCAAGGCCAAACTTTATTACATCATTTACTTTAGGAACACTGCATAACAGTGTTGCAGTGGTGCCCTCTGCAGGCCATTCACCGCTAAAACTTACCACTCGAGTTTGTGTGTGTGTGTGTGTGTGTGTGTGTGTGTGTGTGTGTGTGTGTGTGTGTGTGTGTTTCAATTTGTTCTGCATCATGAAAACCCCACAAACTGGTCTTATAATCCAAGCTTTTGTTTGTTACTGGATAACTTCAATCTTAGTCACTGGCATGCCACACTTTTCCTTTTCTCAAAAACACAGATACTGCCCCCAAATTTCCAATGTCCTTGTTTCTAACTATTGTGGTTGCTGAATTTGAAATATTCACTGTCTGTCATTCACTTCAAGGATTTAAACTCATCTTACTGGGACTGAGATACTGAAGAAACAACACTTGCTCTCACATGAATTGTGTGAATGTATTATTCCCCTCTGAAATTTCCAATTGCAGCAAGGATCCCATTCCCCTGAGTAACAGTGCTGATGTGAATGTGAACCTTCGTAGATCTCATCCTATGCCGGACGCCCAGTGTGACCCCTTCATTATGATGTTCTCTACTGACTACACAGAGTAGCCAGTAGTCAGTTCCTTTCCATTCTCCACCATGTATCAACCTGAGCCACATCTTACTCTCCCCAAGGAAACTGAGTTTTTCATAGATGTGACTGAAGTCCCTCCAGAGGGTTTCTCTAGGGACCTCTACAGTAATTGTATATCCCTTCACAGTGCTGCTGACACTTTCTGGAATGTTGAAAGTCTGAATGCTAAGACTGGCCTTCATTCTCAGTTGTTAGGCAGAGAAACTTTGTTTTTTGGTGGGGGTGGGGGGGAATTAAGGTTTTGTTAGGTTTTTTTTTTTTTTGGACAGGGTCCAATGGCCCAGGCTAGCCTCAAACTCACTAGATACCTGAGGCTGACCTTGAACCCCTCTCTCCCTGACTTAGCCTTCCAAGTTCTGAGGTCACAGGTATGTGCTATATTCCTAGCTACCACTGGGTTCTTGATTTCTAGCAAAAAGAAAACTAAGATATCAGATTTCATTAATTTTTAGTAAAATATTTGTCTAGTTACTTCCTTAAATGTAATAATAAAATTAGCTTAAACTAGAAATTCTGTATCGGGGGTCAGTCTGGCTTAGGTTAAAACAGGGCCCTAGGCCAGCAAGATGACTCAGTGTACAAAGGCACCTGCTACCAATCCTGACAACCTGAATTCCATCCCTAGGACCCATATGGTGGAAGGAGAAAACTGACTTGCAGTTGTCCTCTAACCTTCACACGCACGCACACACGCACGCACGCATGCACACACACACACACACAAATAAATAAAAAATTTTTTAAAAAAAGAAAAGAAACCCAGGGCCCTGCCACAGTTTGGCTATGTAACCTTGAGTAAGCTAACCTATATAAGCTTCAATTTCCTCTTCTAGAAAAAGGGGGCTAATAATAAATATCTCATATAAGTTTTAACAATCAAATGAGTGCGCAAAAATATTAGCATTAGGCCAAGCTCTAATGTGTACGTATGTTTAGGCATGTACTTTTTCTTCTTTTCTATGTGTTCATGTTCTTTCCACACTCCCAAGATTAAGCTCCTTTCCTTGCTAAAATATCTCCCCACCTTTTATGCCTTTTAGACCTTGGATTCAATTTGTCTATATTATAAAACTTAAACAACAACATAAAACCCCCTAACTCCTAACAACCTCCATAGATCTCCCACACACAGATCTCTGCTCTGCTTGCCAGATCTATAAAATTTAATATACACCACACTTAAGGTACTGTAAGTTAAAAGCGAAAACGAAAGCTATTGTCTTCATGCAACGTACAGCCTGAAGGAAGAACTAAAGTGTCATAGGAAAAAGATGGGAAAGAAAGGATGACAGAACAGGGACACTACCCAAACCCAGTCACACAATAATAGGAAAGATCTCAAAGATTCAGTGAAATAGGAATGATGTATTGAGAAATAATAAGGATGTGCCCAAGGTGACTAAGACCAAACCACAGCAATGGGAATATGCTCAGTGTAGCCAAAGCAGAATGAAAAATCTATTTTGTCTAACCATGGACTAGATACTTGCATCACAGCTATAAGGATCTGCAGTAATAACACGAACAGTTCCTATATAATTTAATCAAAGTACTGAAGATTTCAGAGTTGACACTCAGGCCACTGTATGAGGAAGACTAATCTGGGCTCTATGAAAATGGGGGTGGACCTAAAGTATTAAGACCATTTATAGCAAGAAATTCCAACAGTCTCTGTGAAAGTAATCATAGGACATGACTTTGGTTAATGACATGGAAGGGAGGGAATGGGTAGATGAAACAGGGCAAAATATATGTGAATAATTAGAGACAGGAAGGAGAAATTGACTACTTTCAGGCCTTAGAATGAAGATGTCAAGGCCCTTTGTAAAAATAGAAAATCAGGAAGGCCAAGACAGTGTAAAAACAGGTGAGGTCAAGATATTCTGTTTGTGAAATGTCTACAGAAAATTCAAGTATGTGCAGGAGGCAAAGAAATTAAAAATTCTATGAGTTCCTAGCCCAAAGTGTCACATCTACAAAGGAACCTCTATCCCTAAGGTTCATGGAACATAGTAGAACATGGGACACACAGAATATTAATGCATCTCTCAAGTCTCACTAGCAAAGCTTCCTCATGAAACAGAGCAATTAACACAGAAAGCCATAACTGGCCAAAATGTAGAGAGTAAGAGATTACAGAGTGTGAGTCCCTGGATAGGATTCCTATATTAGGCCTCTGTCACTCAGGGCTCAGGGACCACTGTGGAAGAGGGGGTGGAAAGACTGTAAGAGCCGAGGGTGGTAGGTGAACAAGGAAACAGAGTTTTCCAGGCTTCTGGGAATTTGCTCATATGAACTTACAGCAATGGTGACAGCATGCACAAGACCCATGCAAACTCCAACGAGAAAAAAAAAATGCATAAAACTGGGGAAGAAGTGGTCAAACACCCCAACCTTAGCTGAAGAACTACTGGCAGCTGATCACTGTGGGGTGAGGGAGAGCTGATCTTCTTTAAGGGAGTGACACTAGACAGGCTGACCAGGCTCCAGTGGATTAACTCACACCAAGGGACACATAGGCCTTAACATATATAACAAAATGCACAAAATCTGTTGAGGTGGGAGTGCTACAGGAGGTGGAGAGGGAAAGGTCCAAATATGATTAAGATGTACTATAAGAAATGCACACTCAATAAAAATGAATATATTGAAAAAAGAAATTAAAAGCTGCATCTCAGTATGAAGCCACACTAAAGATGAAGATTGACAAGTCAGCCTTCAGATGAGGTGGATACTTCTTCATCCAGAAGAACATCAAGACAGAAAAAAATGTAGCTTTTACTAAAATAACAAACTATGAAGATTAAAAGAAATAATTTCCAAGACTGCTATATACACTTACCTGACCCCAGGCATACATATTATTATGAGTCTGTGAAGGGTTGACTTTGGAAAGGAGGAAACGTGCCTTAAAAGGAAAAAAAAAACAAAAAAAACAAAAAAACAAATAACATTATCCATCAGAAGCAGTAAAGATAAGCTGCATACATTATGCCATCTAAAGTCAACTTAATATATTGGTAAAATTAATTTTGTTAAATATAATATTTAAAAATATCAAATTTTAAAATGTAGTATAAAAATCCTATGTGTGAAATTTAATACAAAGTGAGTGTGAAACTAAAGTTTTTACCAAGTAGTCTGAAACAACATAACAACATACATTTTTTAAAAAAATATTTTGGTATGTTTATGTGTCTGCATGTACTGCCTTCATGTGTGTAAGTGTACCCATGTTGTGCAATGCCTGCTTATGTCAGAAAGTGTCAGATCCCCTGGAACTGGAGTTACGGACAGCTCTTAGCTGCCATGTGGGTGCTGGGAATTGAACCCGGGTCCTATGCAAAAGCAGACAGCTCTTAACTGGTGAGCCATCTCTCCAGTCCCACAACAGAAATTTTAAGTCCCATAAAATGGGCATGGTGATACATGCCTTTAGTCCCAGCACTCGGGAGGCAGAGGCAGGCAGATCTCTGTGAGTTCGAGGCCAGCTTGGTCTCCATAGTGAGTTCCAGGCTAGCTGGGGCTGCAGGGAGACCCTGTCCCAAAAAGACGAAACAAAACAGATACAAACAAAAAACATGAAAATCTACATTCTTTGACTTTAATGAACCTGAAACATTTTAAACCACAGGTGATCCCCTGAGACAAGTTAGGCAACACTCCACCCACCCTCCACTACAGCTTATCATAAAAACAATGTGAACAAATGAGGAAAATGACAACACGCTGAGGCCTCAATGAGCGAATAGTCTTAAATTTTTCATTCATTGTAGAAAAACAAAGCCAGTCTTTTGAAATCTAGTATCTTATAAAATCTTTTTCTGCGCTATAAATAATCAGTTTACTCACAAAGCACTAATCCTAGCGTTAAAAGCTCAGGACTAAATTCCTAACTCTTACCTGGGTATGGTGGCTCACACATGTAATCTCAATATTCAGGAGGCTGAGGCAAGAGAATGTAAGGTCAAAGCCAGCCTGAGCTACATGTGACATCTTGTCTCAAAAAAATCCTAGTCCCTTCATTTGAAGTGTTCCCTTGAGTAAAATTATCAATTCTACTAATTGCAAAAGAGAGACAACAGCAACAGAATTCTCATGAGGATCAAATGAAATAGGCCTGGAAAGTACCTTGCAAATGTTCAATACATGATAGTTGTGTACAGTAAACTCTAATCACTGCTAAGATTTTGAAGAGTTCTTACTGATATGACATTGTGATAAATAAAAAAAAAAAATAGGGGATGGAGAGATGGGTCAGTGATTAAGAACATTGGTTGTTCTTGCAGAAGACCTGGGTTCGAATCCCAGCACCCACATGGCAGCTAACAACTGTCCATAACTCCAGTTCCAGAGGATCCAAGAGCCTCGTCTGTTCTCCGTGGGCATTGCACAACATGAGTACACTTACCTACACACAGGCAATACACACATACACATAAAATAAAAATAATAAATATTAAAAAAAAAACAAAAAAAAAACCCAACAACAACAACAACAAAAAATCCATGACCCTGCCTTTAAGGAGCAAGTAAAACAACTAACAACTTAAAGTTAATGTATTATTACATAAATTTCTGACAAAAATTAAATGGGAGAATTATTTCGTGACTGTATGTTAAGGGCCCCCAACCTGACCTTCTGAAGGGCTCCAAAGGCATGTGTGTATATGTGTGTATCTATTCACGCCTCTTAGGACCAACAACCATAAACCCTTTTGTAATACCAAAACATTCTCCTTTAACATGACAAGTTACTTTTTACAAAACTGAAACAAATGAGGAAGATAGGTAAAATTACGAAAAACTTCATATTTGTAGGCTTTCCCAGCAAATTAACAACTTTAAGAAAAGTACACTAAATTATCTTCTGAGTTGCTACGTTTTTGCTCACCTAAAGCTGGCACATCATCAGAATGGCACGTGGCTGTTAGGAGAGCTGAGGTAGAAATAGAGAAGACTGCCAGCTTTAGGTAAATAGTCAGGAATGGTACCCTTTTGCTCTCAAAGCCACTGTAAACAACAAGCCTGATGCCCGCCCCTTCTGTCTCCTCCTTTTCCTTTGGCTAGGTGAGGCAGTCCATTCAAACAAATTTCTACACCTCTAGCAACAAATATAATATGCACACACTCCTCACCTGGCTGCCGCCATGCTCAGTGTCAATGTATCTTGGCATTGGAAATCTGGAGTGAAGAATCTCCTGTGCATCATCCACTGGGGCTTGTAGAAGGTGCCGGAAATTTTCATATTCTGGCATGTCCTGGTATCCTGACTTCCTCCACTGTGCTATAGTCTAATTTTAAAGCAACTAAAATAATTATTTTAAATTTTTTGGTGATCTAAAAATCCAAAGTTTTTTCCCCAAAGGAAGTTAACTTCAGAAAATAAGAGGAGAGGAGATACTTCTACCTAACAATTTTTAAAGTTACAAGTGCTAATTTTAGTAGAGAAAATATTCATAAATAAACAGATACAAAATCAGCACATGTGTTCTCTGATTTAAAAGTAAAAACAAACTGAGGTTCAGTGTACCCTATAGTCCCAGCTGCTCAGGATGCTGAGGTGGAGATTACTTAAACTCAGCACTCAAAACCTGCACGAACTACAGAACAAGACCCTGTCTCGGAATGAATGAATGGATAAAAACAGACCAGGTGTGATGATGCACACCTATAATCCCAGCACTAGAGAGGGAGACACAAGAGGATTGATGTACACTTGTGTCTAACCTGGTCTACATACCAAGTCCCAGGCCTACCAGGGCTACAAAGTATGACTGTTTTGAAAAACAAAAGCAAAACAAACAACAAAAAAAGAAAGTAAAATTATAAGCCAAGAAATAATTTTTCTTAAAACTATGTATCTATCAAATTAACTAAAAGCTGTCTTTTAGTTTATGTGAGAGAGATTTCTGTGCAGATTTCCTAGAGACTTCAAAAGTAATGATGATGGAGCTAGAAAGATGGCTAGCAGTTAAGAGCACTGGCTGTTCTTGCAGAAGACCCAGGTCTGAATCCCAGCACCCACATGGCAGCTAACAACTGTCTGTAACTCCAGTTCCAGGGGATCTGATGCCTTCTTCTGTGCTCGGTGGGCACTGCATGACACAGGTACACTTAAACGCATACAGGCATAACATCCATACAGATAAAAAATTAAATAAAAATTTTATTTTAGAAAATTAAAAAACTTTAATAATGATAGCAATAATATTATAAAGACAATATACTTGTAGAAGAGTAAGTTAATCAATTTATACAAAAATAAATGGTGTTAAAGTCATACAATTACTTAATCAAAAATTTTAAACCTGGTTCAGGACACAGATTACCTAAATCAATGTATATTCTTATAGCTTTATGTTCAACTTTATAGTTCTGCATTTCAAGGACAAATAGTCATCTGCACTTCTGACTTCTCACATTAAGAAGATATTTAAAGCAAAAATTACCATAAAAATAAACCCAAAAAGAAAGCCTGTCAGTTATTCTTAAAAGGGAAGTTGCATTAGAAATTGGTACACATATAAAAACCTTAAAATTACATACAAAAAATAATGAAAAGGCAAGTTTGCTCACTGATGAGCACTGACTTTTCCCCTCCATGACTTTAGGTAAAACCCAACAATGTGATACCTGTATGTACGTGTCAATGTTTCTACTTTCACAATACTGTGCTTTGTGTAAAATCCATTTGTCCAATAGTGTGTGAACAAATGAACAAAACAGACACAAGCAGGTCAAGTATGATTGAAGAATCACATTTTAGACACACAAATTGAGCATTTTGTATCAAAAGGCATGAGAACAGAGTGCTAGGGATTTTAAACATTTTCAGATTTTGCAATACATGTAAATACACACTGAGATACCCTTGGGACAGGAATCAAGCCTAAACACAAAATTCACTTATGTTTTATTTATGTGTGTGTGTGTGTGTGTGTGTGTGTGTGTATGTGTGTATTTTGTTTGTTGGGTTTTTTGAGACAGGGTCTCCCCGTAGCCCCCGCTGGCCTGGAATCACTATGTAGACCAGGCTGGCTTTGAACTCACAGAGATCCACCTGCCTCTGCCTCCCGAGTGCTAGGATTAAAGGCATGCGCCACCACGACCAAGCTGTTTTATATATTTATTATAGCCTGAAGGTAGTTTTATATATTTTAAATAATTTTGAGCATGAGTACCAGTGGGTAAAGACAACTACACCAAGCCTGATAACCTGGGTTTGACCCCAGGGACTCACATGGTGTAGGGAAAGAACTGACCTCAACAATTATCTTCTGACCTCCACATGCCTGTACACATGCACTCCCTCCACCGAAAAAATAAAACTGTAATAAAATTTTTTTTAAATAATAATTTTGAGCACTGCGTTATTTCTTATGCAACACCACATTATGGCTATGCCTTAATAAACAGTCTGACTCTCAGCATCCATTTCAATCAAGAATATACCAAAACTGCTGAGAACCTGTTCCTTCAGAATTCTCTCAAAACTATGCTCCAGAAAGAAAGGCCTCTCTTTGTGTTATCGACAGTATACCCAGCATGAAATGGGGGAGTAAAAGTCTTAGCAGAAAATTTTGCCTCTTCTGGTCCCCAGACCTAGACCAATACATACACACAACCATAAACACAGACAATATCAATTGAATCTCATGTATTGTTTATAACCCAAATGGGATAATACTCATACTATCAGTGTTTCCAAGGAATAAGCTGCCTGCAGCATCTTTGACACCCACCATATACACACACCCATAGATACATTATTCTGGACGCAGAAGGGTCATGAGGAATTAAAAGCCATGTTTAGGTTACAAGGCTTAAGGCTAGTAGGTTTGTTTACATTACAAACAAGCTAAGATAAAATTAACTTTTTGGTTGTGAGGTTATTATGTCCATACTGTAAAAGTCATTCCCACAGAGCATGAAACAAAAATAGAATTTTCTACTTATATCAATCTGGTACTCAAAATGTTTGGATTTGGGAATACCTTGGATTTTGAACTTTTGGATTAGAAATTGTCAACTTACATTTTATAAAAACAGAGATCATAGTCAACCCATATTTTATAAAAATAGAGAGTAAATATTATCATAGACTTAAATATGAACTACATAATAGAGGGAAAACTGTTTTGTTTTGTTTTTTAATTTTATGTGTATGCATGTATTGCCTGCATGTAGGTAAGTGCACCCGTGTCATGCAATGCCTGCAAAGGACAGAAGAGACTGTTGGACCCCCTGGGACTGGAGTTACGGACAGTTGTTAGCTGCCATGTGGGTGCTGGGAATCGAACCCGGATCTTCTGCAAGAACAGTCAGTGTTCTTAACCGCTGAGCCGTCTCTCCAGGCCAAGGGAAAACATTTTACACAGAGTGAAAAGACTCTATGTGCACAACTGTGAATGCTACAGAATCTTACCTCACCGTGGTAAATCAGAATCTGGAAGAAGGTGTCCATCAGAAGAATGCGGTCTGCAAGAATGCTGCTGCTGTCAAGGAGAACTGGCTGAAACAAAGCAACCACCAGGAAACTGCTCATTTTCAAAACGTATTTTTATTTCTTCAAATATCATATGACGTATCAGGAATCATTACATGACTCAACAGTGTGTTCTAGTAGCTTCTACTCCCCCTGATCTTATTTTCTAAATTCTAAATTTATCTAACACTCCCTGACATTGTGAATTCTCACAGTATATTTTAATTTTTTAAAGAACCTCTCCACACTGAAGTAACAATCAATAAAGAGGCAAGGAGAAAACAAGAATGAATCTAAGCCTGATGATGGCAGCAGGAGAGAATCGGGAAAGGCCTGGGATACATATTTATGGTGCATGGAAAAATAGTTCTGAATAAGAAATAATGAGTATCCTGAACTAACTATAAATTTGAGTATTACATGAACAAAGATGGCAATAGAAATTTGGGTTAGAGTACATCATTTACAGAGACTCAAGATAAGGAACACCAAAGGACTGCGCCCTTGCCAGGTGTGGTATCTTATGTCTACAATCCCAGCATTTGGGAGGCTGAATGAAGCAACAGGATCATTATGAGGTCAAGCCAGCCTGGGCTGCAGAATAAGAATTTGTCTCAAAACAACAACAAAAAAGATAAAGCACTTAAGTACACAAATACATAGAAGTCTTAAAAAGGAAAAACCAGCAAAGAGACTGAAAAGCTCTCCATGGGTAGGAAGAAAACCAGGAATGAACAGTAGGGATCTGAGAAGTCCAGAGGAAAAGGTTTCTAAGAAAAGAGCCCTTGCTAGAGAAATGCTATTGAAAGCTTGTTGAAGGATGCTGTACTACATGGGTGGTCTTGATAAGAGACACTATAATATGTTAGGGATAAAAGTTTAACTCAGAAGTTAAGAAGAGAACATGAGGTGAGATGGTGTAGACAACAGGGCTGGAGAGATGGCTCAGTGGTTAAGAGTCCTTGCTGTTCTTCCAGAGGAACTGAATTTGGTTCCTAGCACCCACACTGGGTGGCTCACTCCCAAGTGCTGGGATCAAAGGAGTACGCCACCACGCCCGGCTCAGCCTGTATAGTTTTAAATGGTAAAATAAGCAATTCAAATTACAGAAAGAAAAAGTTATTCATCTGATAACAGATTAACATACGGGGAGGACAGTTTCCCAAGATAGTTCAGTGGGTGACTTTATCACCTTATGTTCAAAAAGGACCAAAGGAAAATAAGCTCATGTAGCTTACAAGAGAATTTTTGTAACAAGAGATTATTGTGTCAAACATTAAACTTTAAAATAAACTACATACTACAGAATCATGATCACTTCTGAGTCTTATTAAAGTCAAAGATTAATATAAACACTAGGTGATTTTATCAAACAAACACTAAACAATATTATTGAAAAGCATCATTTTTAAATGTTTTTAATGATTTCCTAATATAACTTACCATACCACCTAATGTAAAGTACTCATAAATATTTTAAATGAACACCTTAAGATAATAATTTAATAAGTTCTAACTTTATTTCAAAACAGTTGTTTTCACTTTCTTAATGCACAGATCACAGAAACAAGACCAAATAACTATGTTCTCCTTTTCCTCTTACCTCTGGTGGGCCACTAAAGGAATATGCATACAGAATAGGCTGAATCATGATTAGAGACTGTGTCAGGTCTTGACGCATGAAATGGTGACGATAATATGAACTCTCATCAGGACTATTATTAAAAACTTGTAAGAAAGGAGATCTTCTTAAATGAAACATAAACTACAAGATAAAACAGGTTAGATAGCTTTTACTGATTATTATGTTTTAACAGCAGTTCTCTATTAGCAAAGCATTTGCTTACAAGTATTAGCAACACAATAAAACAAGTTGCATTAAGAATATTCCAAAACAGGACTGGAGAAATGGCTCAGCAGTTAAGAGCTTGCTTACAAGCATGAGGTCTGGAAGGCAGATCCTAGTACCCACGTAGCAGGAGGGTATGGTCCTACTCATGCCTCTAACCCCACCACCAAGCAGGGCAGAGATACAAGGATTTCTAGGGCTGCTGGCTGCCACTCTGGCCAAAACCTCTGAACTCCAGATTCAGCAAGAGACCCTACCTTAAATGAATAAGGTGGAGAGTGATAGGAGAGGACATGTGGTGCCCTTCTCCGGCCCGCTCCACGTGTACTTACATCACACACACAACACACACATACACACACACACACACACACACACACACACACACACACACAAAATGGAATTATACGACAAGAAAAATAAGACAGATAACTGTAAAGGAAAACAACATGGACAAGCCCCTTGACAAGTAATTGAGAGGCTGATGTTCTGTAGTGTAGTGTTATCCATTCTTTCATCTCTCTGAACACGACTCTGGGCTTTTGTTATTCACTGCTACCATATAAAAGCTCTAAGAAAGGGATCTGGAGAGATGGCTCAGTGGTTAAGAGCACTTGCTGCTCTTACAGAGTCAGTTCAATACCAGCTCCCACATTGGGTGGCTCACAAGTATCTGTAAATCCAGTTCTAGGGAGGATCCAATGCCTCTGGCCTCCATGGGTAATGTCACTCACACGTACTTATGTACATATATATATACAGGCAGGCAGACAAATAGACACACCAACACACACACAATTTAAAAATTTTTTTAATTAATAAAAATTATAAAAACATTATTTACTTTTAATGTGTCTACAAAATTATGTTTGAAAAGGTCTGCATTGGTTCAAAAAGAAGAAAAAATATTTCTGCCCATATTGTTAATCTTTAGGTCTTTCTTATTCCTCACACTCTCTAGACTTAGTTTCTCTTTTTGCTTTCTCCCCCTACTTATTTTCACATAAAGGAGATCAAAACGGGGAGGCATATGGCTGAATAAAGGACAGCTACAACATCTCTTTGGTAAAATCAATATGATCAGTCCCAGTTCTCACTTGTCTCTAGACACTTCTCTCAAATTCCTTCATCCCGAGGGCCCAAGTGCCTACAACTTGCGTTTTGTGGAAATAATCCACAGTTCTCTCTCCACACAGGCCACTTACTGAAGTTCTCAGTTCTTCTTCTTCCTCAGTGATCTGTAATAAGCACCTCAGTTACTACTGCTTACTCCAGATATGTCTACTTGGTAAACTTTTAGATAAACATTTTATCAAAGTCTTCCCTAAAGCTTAATCTATGCCACCTTTTAGATCATCAGGTGTTGAAAACCTACAGAAAAAATGTATTTCTAGGTTCTCTGCTTCCTTCTTCAGGTAAACAGCAGAGCACCCAGATCACTCTGATTATCTAAAACTCTAAAGTAAAGACTTGGAATCAAAACAGAAGAAAAAGAAAGGAAAATGTGAAGAATTTGGTTTTGCAGCTGGCAAGATGGCCAAGTGGGCAGATTTCCAGCACCCATGTAAAAGTGAGGCATGGCAGCAAAGGTGTCATCTCAGAGTAGGAAGGAGAGACAGCAGGTCCTGGGGGCTCACTGGCCAGCCAGCAGAGCCCAAGCAGTGGGCTTTCAAGTTCAATGAGAGATCCTGTCTCAAAAACTAAGGTGGTGAATGATAGAGAAAGACACTTCACACTGACCTCTGATGCTCACTCATGCTCATGTGGGCAAGCACATTCTTCTTTATAGGACGTACATGCATACAGACAACACACAAACACAAGTAAAATACATAAATTTTTAAAAACAAGCTAGGTATGGTGGTACACACCTTTTAATCCCAGCATTGAGGGGGAGGGCAGAGGCAGGTGGATCTCTGTGACATGGAGGCCAGCCTTATCTACATAGTGAGTTCTAGGCCAGTTGGGACTACAGAGAGAGAACCTGTTTTAAAAAAACAAAATAAATAAATAAATAGATAAAATTTTTAAAAGACAGATGTGGTGATATATGCCTATAATCTCAGCACTTAGGAGGCTGAGGCAAGACAATCATGAATTTGAGGCCTGCATGAGTTATAGGGCCTCCTCAATAAGTAAGTCACTGTAAGAACAAAGTTGAGGGCTGGGGATGTAGTTCAGTTGGCAGAGTGCTTGCCTAGCATGCACAAGGCCCTGTGTTTGAGCCCCAGCACCACACATACGAGGTAAGGTGGTGCACACCTATAAACCTAGCACGCAAGAGATGGAATCAGGATGATCAGAAGTTCAAGATCATCCTTGGCTACATAAGGAGTTCAAAGCTAACTTAGGCTTGAGATCTTGTCTCTCTCTTTTTCTTTCTCTCTCTCTTTTTTTTTTTTTTTTTTTTTGGTCTTTGTTTTGAGACAGGGTCTCCCTGTAGCCCCAGCTGACCTGAACTCAATATGTAGACCAGAATGGCCTCAAACTCACAGAGATCTGCCCCGTCTGCCTCCCCCAAGTGCTGGGATTAAAGGCATGCACCAAGATCTTGTCTCTTTAAAAAAAAAAGTTAAAGTTTCAGGACAAAGCTTTTACAGGCAAAAATGAATTTCAATGGTGGTCCACGTCTATAATCCCAGCATTCAGGAAACAACATGGCAAGTTCAAGGCCAACCTTGGCTGCATAACAAGACCCATATCAAAAATTAAAAGTAAAAGTAAATCACACAGATAGACAAATACAGGGATAGATTCACTGCTTCTGGGTAGAAAGGTTCTGTAAGGCAAAGCAGATTCATTTTTCTTACTTGCTATGGCCCCATAAAATTGTCCTCAGGTGCTGATAACATCTCACCAAGATTATCTAACTGGTAAAATTATCTCATTGTAATTAGAACCTCTTATTTCATATAAAAAGCTAATGGGCCTTACCCTCAATTGTACCCACAGTTAGGTTTCAATTAAATCGTCAGTCACCACAAATAAATGACTATTTGTAAGGCCAAAACAGGAATATTATATTCTTTTCACTAACTACAACACAATATTAATTTCTTAGTTATCCTGAAATTTACCTAACTAAAATAATAATTTAAAAAATAGGCTTATAGATGAATATTAAAAGACAAACGAGAAAAGACAAAACTCAATGTAATTAACAACAAGAGAAAAGAACATGAATCTTTTACCTACTTACCTGTGGGTAAAGGGAAAAAGTTTCTGAAAACCTGAAGGAACTTGGATCATCTTTGTGATACTCTCCAAATTTCTGACACTAAATAAAATAAGACATTAGTGATGTTTCCTGGTATAATAACTAAAAATTTCAGAAATGCACTAACAACTTTCCTTAAAATGTTTGGATTTGTTGTTTTAACTAAGTGTCTCTGATTGCAAATAAAGAATATGTAGATGTTGATCAAAAAATTCCAATATGAGCTTCCTGAGACTACCAAAATAATTTTTTATATTAGCCAAGTAATAGAAAGAGGCACTATCCATAGTAGCTACAAAATTAAGTTGTTGGTATAAAATTTGGTATACCAGAAGTACCATAAAGGAGAATTAAAGAAAAGGAAATTAAAGATGAGATCTGGTAAAGAAAGAATAACAAAAGCAGAAATCAGAATAAGGAGACATGTACTGGCAACTGAAAACTAGTCCCTGTATGAGAACATGTCAAAGGCATCTAGAGAATGAAGTGAGGTATGAGTAGTGGAAATTTCTTAGCACAATGACTGGCACTTACTGCAATGAATGTAACTGACCTTCCTCAGCTTGCACTTGAACAAAAAGTCTCTACCCCAAAGGCCCATGTGTTGAAGACTTCATCACCAGCTCATGGCACTAGTGGCAGATGGTGAAAACCATAAGAGGGGCTACTGGAAGGTCTTCTGGTCACTGGGGACATGCCTTTGAAGGAAACTGCAGAATCAGTCTGCTCTTTTTCCAATTCCCAGTTATGAGGTGAGCAGCTCTGCCATGAAGTGTCACTATAGGCCCAAAAAGGAATAGGGCCAATGATCACAAACCAAAAATCTATCTAAAACCATGAGCCAAAATAACCCCTTCCTAAGTTGACTCTCTCTGATTCTTCTTAGCGTAAATATGGGAACAAAGGAATACAATTACCCTCTGAGTAAGCTATTCTCAGTTTCAGACAAGAGGAAAACCAAGGCACAAAGAAAGGACAAAAAGTATGTCATAAAAAGTAGGATAGTGGTTTGATTATATCAGCCTCTCTCTTCCCAAGTTACCTGTTCTAGCCTCCTCCTTTACAGTTACCTGACTTTATGACAGCTCTACCAATGGAGACAGAATATCAGAGTAACATTTTCCTTACCTCATTAATAAACTGTCCTCTGACTCAAATAACTGCCTTGCTACTGCTGTAAATGTTGCAAAATGTAAAATGTGTAGATCAAACGTAAATTATATATGTGAAGTTACTATAATTTTATACCGAGTACAGTCGTCTCATTTAGTTATTGGCTAGGCCCTTTTGATTTGATTTGTATTTTATTAATATTTTTGCTTTACAAGCAGGTCAGGCAATCCAGCAGCCTTTGAAGTGTGAGAACTGTGAAAAATTACAATCCTGAGTGACTGGTGCAGCAAGGCACAAAGAAAAAGTCATCTTTCCAATAAAAGGTGCTTAGTGGTTTTATTCAAGTTGATAATCCAGACTGAACTATAAAATTTTAGTGTCATCTGTGAGAGCCTAAAATGCAATAGCTCCAGCAAGATGGAGAAAGGACTTTACAGTGAACCACAGCAATTTCAGAGGCACAAGTGCTGGCTACTTCAAAAGCTTTCAGAACCTCAAAACAACAAATTGTTTATTAAGACAAAATCATTTCCTATGAAAAGGCTCAGGAAGTCAGCACAATTTATTGTACAGGAAAGGAAAACTCATATGGTTAGCTGGGAGCCTAGAAACACCAGTATGTAAAATTACAGTAAGTAAATGTTAGTACAAATGCAATCTAGGAAACCGAAAAGGTTGTATTTTAGAGTTCTGGGCTACAGCGGTGGTCAGCATGCAAAAGGCCTTGAGTTTTGCCACCAACACCAAAAAGGTTATTAAGAAAAAGAAAGCTACAACAAAAAAAAAAACCAATTCCATCTTAGTCAAAGTGTTGATGGCATATCATATGATGCTAAACAGGCCTGTGCAATAAGCTGAAAAGCAGTTTCTTTATTCAGGTTGAAAGCTTAAAATTCAGCAATTTTTAATTGCAATATTTTAACTTTCCTTTTACAAAGGGCACTCTTGTTGCTTTAAAGAAGCACAGGTGAAATATTTAATGATTTATCCCCATCTGGAAACAAAAGGTCCATGTTGGAAGAACTGTGTCAGCAATTGTATTGAGTGTCTGGTGTCTGGGAGGCTTTAAGGGCTTAGATCTCATTTTAAAAGATACACTACAAGGACTGGAGAGAGGGCTCAGCGGTTAAGAACACTGGTTGTTCTTCCAGAAGAGCCCGGTTTGAATTCCAGTACCCACATGGCAGCTAACAACTGTCTGTAACTCCAGTCCCAAGAGATCCTACAGTCTCTTCAGACCTCTGCGGGCATTTCACGACACAGGTGCACTTACCTACATGTAGGCAACACAGGTATACACATAAAATAAAGATAACAAATAAAATTTAAAAAAAAATACACTACTATTACTGTGACATTGTTTTCTTCACAGAGAGGTGCTGGAAGAACAGGAGAAGCCTTAGAGATGAAGTGAATTCTGGACAGTGCTTCAAAAGTGGCTAACTTTAAACAAAAACTGATTCAGAAATTTTTGTTTGTTTGTTTTTTGTTTTTTGTCTTTTTGAGACAGGGTCTCCCTGTAGCCCCAGCTGTCCTGGAACTCACTATGTAGACCAGGCTGGCCTTGAACTCAGAGATCTGCCTGCTTCTGCCTCCCAAGTGCTGGCACTACAGGCGTGAGCCACCACTCCCAGCAGAACTATTTTTTTAAACTACATGAGACAAAGAACATCTGTTTGATGAGGTAAAAGCCCAGCTCTTCTGTATTTGGTAGCTTAACAGAAAAGTCTCAACAAAGTATTTGAGTTGAAGAGTGAATGAAAAAAGTACAGGGCTGAGTTTACAAAATAAAAACGAAGCATTAAGAACTGCTTAAGCCCGTAATCCTAGGACTTGGGAGGCTGAGACAGAAGAGTAAGACTAGCCTAGACTACAAGTGATACACTGTTTAAAGGAACAAAAACAAAAAAACCCCGAGTTTAATAAGAGCCTTCCAGGTCATCATGTAGACAATAGGCTCCTGAGGCTCCAGGCATGTTAAAAATACCAAAGAACCAATAATTTACCAGCACATATTTGGTAGTCTAGATAATTAAAGATTTGCATACATTTTTATATAATATGTGTAATTCCTGTGTTCCAATTAATTTCTCTTAATATATATATGAAAAAAAATAGGAAAATAAAAAGCCCTAGCAATACACACAACACAACACACACAGACACAGACACACACACACAGAAGTAGAAACAGACGCAGTAATACAAAATTAAATTTCAAACTAATTTCATGCCAGCCAAAATCTTAGGTTGCACATTTGCCATTCCTTCATTTGAAGGAAAAAAAGGCATTCTAATCTACTGGAAGTAACAATGGAATACTGTTATTATCATGACACTATTATTACCTCAGTAATGTGAATGTGTTCATCAAATAATACTTCCCATCCTGTCAGGGCTTCAAATGGCATATACTACAAAGCCTACAAACTTAGAAAAGCATAGTGTTTGCTTCTTACCAGTCGAATGAGCTGTCTGTCCAGCCATCTAAGCACATCAGGCCCTTCCTCTGTTTCTGCTCTATACACCGCCAGTCGGGCCATAAGAATGGCAGCTGCTTCCTGGTCAAATGATGCGGCAATGTTTTGGATTTGAGTTTGTGCATCTGCCCAGCTAAAGGTATGAAAGCACAGAAGTATTGTTCAATTATAATACCACAGTTTGCTACCACACAGATATACACTTAAAAGATACAGAACCCCACTTCAGAATTTCAAATTTCCAACATTACCAATGCAAAAAAGATTATTAAAAGATCATAACCTGTTTCATTACAACATTGATTTTCATACAAACAAAACCAAATCTTAAAAATTTCCTAAAGCAGGGACTGGAGAGATGGCTCGACAGTTAAGAGTATTGACTGGGTCCTCTGTAAGGGGACCCAGGTTCAATTCCCAGCACCCACATGCATCTAACAATCATCCAAAACTTCAGTTCCAGGGGATTCCAATGCCGTCTTCTGACCTCTTTGACACTGTGTAACATGGGTGCACGTACACACATGCAGGCAATACAGTCACACACACAAAATAAAAATAATAAAATATTTTTTTTAATTTCTAAAGTAACTATAAAGGAATAATTCCCACCATATTCTTTTTTTTTTCAAATTGGAAATACTCAATTTTTATTATTGTCATAAGTATACATTATGAACAATTTAATAGTTTTGTCTATTTTTTTAATTGTTTAATAACCACATACTTAGAAGAAGCATTTCATTACAACAGCATTGACATATTCAATAACAATTTTCTGGGCTAAGATGCATCTCTTTCAAAATTGGCTGTAAACATTTTAGGTTTACAGTTGATAGAGTTGATACA